CTCCTGTGAGCTACTCAGAGCTCTATCTATCCTTCTTTGTTGGTCTAAGAGTTTATGAATATTATAGTTAGTTATTAATGGAATAAAATTGATAGAACCATGGCAGCATGTGACAAGCGCACACTTAAATATAACAGCCATTAGAATCATATACCACGTGGTAATCGGTGAAAGAAAACATCTCGAGCTACGTTGCAAGTATTTATAACGTGGTAAATCCATGCTGCAACTATAATGTTAAGGTTGTAGTACGAATGTATTAGTTCTACTGGGGTAGGATGATGCTCACTAAAGCTGAGGCGCACACAATACCAGCGTAAAATAGCAGCATATTGCTGTTGTGTTTTGTATGTTGTGTGTAGAGAACCGGAGGCTAATCTTACTAGAAACAAGGCATTCCATTTTAGTCCTCAGGAGGTGACAAAGCATCCGCATTTTGATTTTTAATCGATGATAGATGTACATGTCTATTGACCACATCGTCCACTTACCATCAGGTGGACTGTGTACTTGTTTGTCACCGTAATCCTATAAAAAAGAATAATTAGAAATTAAAAAAATTGTCTGTCGGTCTAAATTACATTACATTCTTTATCGTCCGGTAATAAGACATCGTAAATTGTGACAATCTTGTAATCAACTTAATCTGTAAGCAAGCGTAAGATACTGCAAAGTGTGAATTACGATGATGAATCCAGGCCAATTCAGAGTACGACATTTTCTGTAATCTTCCAGAAACAGATAAGAATTTCTTGATGCATTTATTTCAGTATTTACACATTTGCCTTTATCAGTTTCACCGTTGATTGAAATGTTGTTTATGTCTCATTGACTTATTAGTATTGCACATAAAGAGTGTGTTATAATCACTATATTATTATTAATATTTTTTGAAATAAAAAACGTGAAATTTCAAAATATTTCATTGAACTTCAACGACTGCCTTTAGTTTCTGAGCTTTGGGCGACCATGAAAGTAAGTCTAGGGCGAAAGCAGTTACAAGGGAGTTAGGTGTCTTTGCAAAGGTATGAAAATACTTCACGCCTTTCTATTTATAGACTGGTGCTGCAAAATTCAAACTAGCGGTTCTGGGTTTAATAGAAAAGCTAAGAAGCTCATTGGTGACATGAATTACCAAACTTACTAGACACAATCTCACAATCTCAATCAAGCACAGCCGTAAAGTAACCAGCCTTTGTGTTTAATCCCTGGTAATCCCAGCTCAAAATAATAAAAAAATGTGGTTGCCAAGCCGCTAGCCAAGCATGGCAACTATGGCAAAATACCTTCTATGTCAAATACGTCCAAGTGAGGCAATCTATAAAGGAGGTCTGTATCCATTAGTGGAATTTTAATAAGCCGTAAGGAATGAAGGAGTTACAAATTAACCACTACGACTTAGACTGTTTTTATTCAACTTTGGATGAATTTTTTATAGAATAAGAGTGACAAACGAGCACATAGTCCACCTGATGGTAAGCTGATGCTGTGACTCATAGACTTCTACATTTATCCTCTATTAAGAATCAAAACGCAGATGCGTTGTCACCCCTGAGGACTAAGATGGAATGCTTCGTTTCCAGTCAAAAAGGGTCTCCGGATGTCTACACTCACCATACGAAATACAGCAGTATTGAGCTGCTGTTCTACGCTGGTATTCTGTGAGAGCGTGGTCCTACCCCGGTAGAGCCGACCTATTCGTGTTACAACCACAATATATCTGTAGCGTGGCTCTACCACGCGTTACTTGACCACATGTAAATTGTTGCTTATGTCGATTCGTTGGATGGCTGAAATTAGATTTTGAGAATGTAAAAGTGGTAAGGTTTTTTTTTTGTTTTTAATGAATGTAAATGTGAAATACTACTGGAAGTGACTATCCAAGTTCTCCTATGATGAACTCTCAGATTATATAATTTGAGGTGATGTTGATATATGATTTGATGAAATAAAAGGAAGACTTTTAATTTAAAAAAAAGGTTATTGCCCGTAGAACATAATCTGTAACAAAACATTAGGATGATGTTTGTTTTAAGAATAAGAGTGACAAACAAGCGACGGCTTTCCTGATGGTAAGTGGATGTTGTGGCCCATAGACTCCACATCTACATTTATCTTCGCTTAAGACACAAAATGCAGATGTGTTGTGACTCCTGACCACAGAGATGTAATGCTTCAGTTAAAAGGGTTTCCGGTTCTTCACATTCACCATGCGAAACATAGCAGCATTAAGCTGCTACTTTATGCTGGTATTCTGTTAGAGCGTAGTCCTTACTCGGTCAAGCCTAACCATTCGGGATACAACCATAATATAGCTGCATCATGACCTTACCACGTACTAATGCCTCGTTTTCAGTAGAAAAGGTCTTTGATTCTTCACACACACCAAAACAATCACCGATTCTTTACAAGGTTCTTAAAGCCTTTTTGTTAGTGATACGGATCTCCAACATAGAGGTAGTTGAGGTGAAACATTGTTGCCACTATCTACAAGTGAATTACAAGCAAAGAGAGATAAACTTCAATTACTATTCTACTATTATCGAGAATAAGCACATTTTTCTTTATGTACATACGTGTGAAGTTACACAGACATTGTAGAGCAACACTCCACGCGGCTTTATCGTGTTTGATTGTGATATAGTATCGAAACTGACCACTCGTTATTCAATTGACAAGGCTAATGTAAAGGTTAAGAGATCGTCCATAGCGACTATGCAATCTATCATTTACTTCATGATTCTTCGACATGCCGCATAGAAGATTTTAGCTTATCGTTTTCGTTTATAAGTAACTAAACCATACTCTATGAAAAAGTAATTTTAGGTAATTTTAGATTTATAAATACGTGGTAAAGCCACAATGTGCCAATTATATACGCTGTATGTATTGTGATTGTTGCACGATTGGGTTGGCTCGACCAGAAAAGGGCCATACTTTCACAGAACACCAGACTAAAATTGCAGCTTAATGCTGTTGTGTTTTGTATGGTGAGTGTAAAGAAACTGGAAACGAGGCATTTCATCTTAGTCTTGAGGGGTGACAATGCATCGGCATTTTGATTCATAATCGGGGATAGACATAGATCTTGTTGTGCGACGGTATTTAGTTACCATCGATCATCTTAGTCATCAGGGATGACGAACATCTGCATTTTGATTCTTAATCGAGGATCTACATTTATCCTAGATGTCTATGGGTCACAGCTTCTACATACCATGAGGTGAACTGAGTGCTCGTTTTCTTCTTTAAAAAAGCCTCTTTTTATTTTTAAACTTTTTTTAAAACTGTTACGAAATTCAATCAATAAAATATTTACTTATATAAATTAATAAAAATATTACATTACGCATTCTATGAAAAGTAATAAACGTACGTGACAAATATAATAAATAAAGTATTTTCAGAATGATAAAGTTTCAATTTCAATCTAATAACCATTTTTTATTTTGCCACTGATTCAAAGGATTTTACAATTTTTTGTTAAATTTATTATACTTAGGAACAGATTTGTATGGTGACTGCACAATATATATGTAGGCGATCGAACCAGTATTTTATGTGCCGACGTATACAATATCTTATTATAAAATAGTGCTTGAATAAAATCTTATTTTAGTTCATTGAAATGGCGTTTGACTTACTAAAGTGTTTTGTAAAATTTCATTATGTTACTAAACTTTATTCGGTTGTGTGTCGGGTCATTGAAAGTTCCAATTTTCAAATTAAAAGCCAGTGTTGTTGTTTAGATTATAGATTTCGTACAGATTATAACCTTGTCAGTATCTTTTTTTAACATCGTACAACTGTGACTTTTTGTTTGTTTATATTGCTTACTGGTAACCGATGCGGATGATAGGTTCTCGATTGGCAACCTCGTACTTGCAAGCAGTGTTGTGTCTTATTGGGGACACTAGATTTCTTAGACACTAATTTTAGTTAAAAAATTACAATGATAAAACAACTACGAGTATAGATGCTATAGTCAGACAGAAGCAAGAAAGATGGAGGCCTGCGTACATCTCATGTAATGCAATAACTAACCTAAAACTGTTTTTTTTTATAGAAGAGGGGGCAAACGAGCATACGGCTCACCTGATGTTAAGTGACTACCGCCGCCCATGATCAACCGCAACACCAGGGGAATTGCAGGTGCGTTGCCGGCCCTTTAGAAAGGAGTACCTAAGCTCTATTATTGAAGGTCCCCAGGTCGTATCGGTCCGGAAAAATTGCCGGTGGTAAATTCACTGTGCTCAAATTATTGTAGGAACACGCACTCATGTTTTAAAATTAAGTCATTTGAGGTGTATACATGTACGTTCAGCGGTGAACTTCTGTGGGGTGATAGAAAATAAAAGAAGAAATATGTATGTGTGAGTGTGTGTCAAGAAGTTGAGCATGGTTTGGGTATCACTTGAATTTGTACGCAGCACTTCGTCTATCTTCTATTTTTGGCATGTGAGATACACACTCTCCCATAATCATAGTCATTGATTGGATGCTGCAATTTTATTATAGAAGTTTTTATGAAAAGCACCGACATTTTTTAAGTATCTCATTTTAGGAAGCAGACCTTTTCTCATTTTTGATTTAATATGTTGTCCCAATTCTGGTAACACTGGTCGCAGTGTCATCAAAAATCTTTTTAATAATATTGTTTTTAGAGAAAAGGATGGCAAACGAGCATATAGTTCACCCACAGATTAGTAATCTTTGAGTTCACCTGATGATAAGTAAGTGTATTTGTACTCGATTAAGAATCAAAATACCGATGCTTTGCCACCCCTGAGGACTAAGATGGAATGCCTCATTTCTTGAAAAAGAATCTCCTATTCTCTACACTCATCATACGAAACACAGCAGCATTAAGTTACTATTTCACTCTGGTATTCCGTGAGAGCGTGATCCCACCACGGTCGAGCCGAGCCACTAGTGGTACAACTATAATATAGCTGCGGCGTGGCTCTACTACTTATGAAGTGCGTCTGTTCTTTTTTTAGGGTTTTTGCGCAACTGCACGCCGCCGGCCATTGACGACTTCCCGGCGGGGTTTTTTACCGAGCAACAGCGTCAGCACGGTGCCATCGTCCTGCACGCATTCATCTCTATTTACCTCTTCGTGGCACTGGCGGTAGTCTGCGATAAGTTCTTCGTGCCTGCAGTTGATAGAATATGCCACGGTTAGTACTTCCCTTCGGTTGTAGAAAGTTATTCACCCAATGAAAATAAATGGAGAGAATCTATGACCCCATTTGATATCATTCGATAGATGGCGTGAATATCATAAGGGTTAGGTGGAAGAATGTGTTTTGATATTCACTCTGGCAAAAGCGATGTGATAGGCTCAATGAGCAAACGCGAGAATGTTTTTATCTAGGTTTACAAATAGAGGTGCCCCACATAGAACAAAGTATAAAAAAAGTCCAAAACATGTCAATGTACAATAATGCAAAACTTTGTAAAAAAATCTTTGAAATTGTTTTTCTGTTGTTTTTGAATACATCCAATCATTAATAAGCGTCTATTTTCACAATTTTTCCTTTCAGTATCTATTTATCCTAGTAGTATATATATATATATATATATATATATATATATATATATATATATATATATATATATGTGTATAATAATCTATGTTTCAGTCGCTAGTAAGCATTTTAAAGATACAAAATACTATTCCAATAAATTATTAGGGGTCATGTACATCTGAATGAGGCTGAACGAAATTTTTTTTTCAGAATTCTCTCGTGATGTGGCACCTCAAAGAATTTTTTTCTCTTCATTAGTTTCACCAAAATATCTAACACTAACATATCAAATTAATATAATAGCAGCTTTTGTTAATACTTTTAAGCAAATGTGCTTAAAAGTATGTATTAACAAAAGCTGCTATAATTACTTAAAAGTAAGCTCCGCATGCATACAACTGTAAAAATACATAAACTGAAAAAAAAAAACAATAAGCTGTTCCTCAAGTAACATTAAAATATCTATTAGTAAGAATAGTGCTACATAAATTTAAAAAAAAACTTAAATCTATTTTCCTTTAGACTTTTAACTAGCTCGTTTACACTTAATCGCTGTATCTATTAATAATTTTACAGAATCTGGGATAACACGAATTCCTTCCCAAGACTGTTTTTCTTAATAGTGGACTAAGTGGTGCTTTATTGCGGGATAATCTCGAGGGTACACGAAACTTAAAAAGTTCCATTAAACTGTGGCAATTAAATGTAAAATTAAATAGCTTAAGCACAAAACCTGATTATTAATACAAAAAAAGATATTTAATACACTTCATTCCCTCATTCATAGCAGCTTTCTACCACTATGCTATTAAAAATAAATCTCCATACATTTTCACTCCACCCTAGGGACTATCTCGTTACGCAAGGTGTTAAATATGCAGACCGGCGACGGGCATCAAAAGTGCAAGATGTCTGTCACTTCCATCGGCAATTCTTCTGCCGAGCGATTAAAACGAATCGTTTATACAACCAGAGAGATCCATGTTCAACAGTAGAATTTTGCGGGCTGATGATGATAATGATGATAGGAGAAACTTTCTAAAAGTGGTTGCTTGACCATGATGATGGTAAGTGGTAGTGAAAGCCCTAGATGGTAAATCGCACTATTTCAGCAGAACAAAAGACTCTTGCCTTGAAGACACTCAGATTGAATTCGTACGGAAAGAGACGCCGGCAAATTATTCCACTCCTTAGGTGTACATATTACAAAAGAAGAAGCAAACCATTTGGTACTAATGCGTGGTATATTGACAACAAATGGATGAAGACCCACCGATCCCCTGGTTGTTCAATGGTGGAAAGGAATGGCAGGAATTAGAACATGTAATTCCGGTGCAAAGTCACCGAAATGGTGACCTAAAAATGACGGTATTATCATATGCGTCTCAGCCCGACCTATGGCTTCACTTTGCCCAAAATAGTGACCTATTGAACATGTCTCGGACACGAACATTGTTTTGCAAATTCGATGTTTTATTCTTGTTAATTTATATAGTTTGTTGCTATTTTTTCTACAGATACACAGATAGTAACTGTATAAAAAATAGCGACAAAAATAGCGATAATAGAAACTGCAACTTGGTGCATCAATGTATACAAAATATGTTAGGCAAAGTACTAGAAATTAAATTATTTTTAAAATAGTAACCATATACATATTTTATCTCCTACGGAACATTGGTAGAAATGTCACAACTCTATATTTAATTTTAGTAATCACTAGGCGGTCAGTTCTTTTGATAAAGATACTAAATTACGTGGTGGTCCCCTAATATTAACTAAGAAATATGTACATATCATGTAAAGAACGTAAAGATATTGTGGGCCTCTTTGTTGAGCGAACTGTAGAAATGGCATGTGTTGAGCTTGAGCACCTTATTGTTGTCAGTATTTACAGACCATGTTCCCATGTTTGGGGTATGATACCTTTAAAAATTATGGAAGAAGTTTTAGTTAAGCTTAATAAACAGAATAAGTCTGTTTTAGTATGCGGAGACCTTAATATCAACCTCCTGGAAGCTTCTCCCATCAGTATAAAATTTTGCTCGTTGTTCAAATCATTCAATCTTTATTTTATTCTTTGAAGCTACACGTAATGCAGAGAGTAGTGCAATTAGTATTGATAATAGTTTAAAGATGTTGTACTAATTAATAATTTAAAAACTAATTTTTAATTACTGTGGACAACTGGTTTCATTACCATATTATATGCCCAAAATCAGGACATTGAGACAATTGTGTTTGTTCCGATTAATTTAAAACACCTGGAGAGATTTAGAAGTAATATGGTAAAAAAAACCTTCTATCGCTTTCTTACAAGATCAATTCAGACTATTTATATGGAGTATTATTTACCCTTATAAGTAATGAATTTAATAAAACATTTACTTTTAAAATATTCTCCAGTAACAATCGCAAGGCATTTATTGACTGGGCGACAGTAGAAATTCATAAGAGTAGACGAAGAATATATGAAATTTACCATGAAATATTAATCTTTCCGATACTTTTAGAGAATATGTCAAAAATTATTATGGCTCCACAGTCAAATCTATACTAATTAGTAACAAAATTAAGACCGTTAAAATAAAATTCAAATTGCGTGATATATGATATAATAATACCGAAACCGGCAAAGACAAACCTCGTCACACAAATTATCAATTGAGATGCATCTACTTGCTTCTCCAAATAATAATCCGCAGTGCCTCCTGTACTTTCGTCTGTTATTCCCGATCTTGATCCAATCCAATAGCAATCTGACACACCAGGCTTAAAATGTTCTAAAAACTTGATCCGGGCTTTTGATCGTAAATTCGCTTCAGAAGCCCTGGGATTAAGTAAAAATAAATTGCGCATTCTGGCAAGAGCCTTAACTGAACACTGTTGTCTTAAATAAAACATGTGCCTCCTGGGTCTAAACAACTCAAGGATGTGACGATTATGTTCCATAACGGAAGAAACACCTCTGCACATCCAAACTGATTGCGGACCCTTAATGCGCAAACGTAACACTCATCTGGGAAACTATTTACTCCGCCCAGAAGTGAAATTACTCACAGTTAAGCAACTCCTATTCATTATATAGTTCCTATAAGTAAAATTACATAGGGCTTAGCAGTGAACTATCCAAATCCGAGTATTTTTGATTTTGTATTTTTTGATGTCGTTATTTCGTTATTTCTTCTTCAGATTTTGCTAGAATTCCTCTCTTCATAGTCCATAGAATTTACTTTTACGAAATTGGTCGTTTGATTTTGTTTTAAGCTAAAGTTACATTTAAAATTATTAATATAATGAAAACAAAATATTTAAAACGAAGTCAGCTTTATGTTTCAGTGTCAGGTTTGTTATATTTAATAACAAAACTTCTTGTATTGAATTACTAACGGGCTTAGTTGTTTTAGCCATAAAATCGAGTTTAATATAATGTGGGCTGCCACCACAGATTATTAGAGGGTAATAAATCTAGAGGGTAAATAAGAGATTATTAGAGGGTGCTCTGTGACTGCGTTGCCACTTTGAAATGAGGTGAAATATTTGACAGTTTTCATAGCAGGGAAGTTATTTTATGGGAAAATGTGACTTTTTGTAACATTAGGTAATTTTATATTAAGTAGATAAAATACCAAACTACAGATATTCCTAAAAGTAGAAAAATTAAAAAAAGAAGTTTAAAATTTGAAATTAATCACTGAATCATTGTTTTTAATTACATGACATTGTGTAACAAAGTTGTGTTCTCGACTGGTAGCCTCGTATCGGCAGTCGAAGTGTAGGGCGCAAGATGAAGTGACGACCTGGTAAAATATGCGTCGATGGATGCAGGTGGCTCAGGACCGTGCAGACGAGGCCTATGTTCAGTAGTGATCTTGTGAAGGACTGTAATGATGATAATGATATGTAACAAAAAACTTCACCTCGGCCCCAATTTACGACATCTGGTGAGCGGAAGGTTTATAGCTCTCATTGTCTGATACCTTTCCTTAAGGTTACTCTTGACTTTATTTTCAGCATTAAACATGACTAATGACGTGGCTGGGGCTACGTTTATGGCGGCGGCCACGTCGGCACCGGAGCTCTTCGTGAACGTTATAGGGACGTTCATTACGGAGGGGGACATCGGTGTTGGCACCATTGTCGGCTCTGCCGTCTTCAACATCCTCGCTGTTGCTGCTTGCTGCGGCATCGGCGCGGGCATGGTACTTTTCAAACATATTAACTGTCGTGTGGTAACGTTTCTAAAGGAACTGTATCCGTGACTGGTCATCGCTACTGATGATGAGTGGGCTGGTTCTTTTCTCACTCAATGGCTAAGTATAGCCATTCGGAAAAAAACGCAACCAGCGTCCTTGGTACGATACCACGGGGAGTAGGAATGTATGATAAATTAAGTTTTTAGTTTTAGTAATTATAATATAGTTTCTTTAATATTGTATACATTCCAATTAAAAAGGTAAATAAATGATATATGAAGTTATGTAGTTTAATATATATATATATATATATATATATATATATATATATATATATATATATATATATTTCCATTTATCGAGATGTGTTAAAAGAAAACCTTGTGGTGACAGTATAAGATAATCCACTATGGCATATCGTCCCGTGGAAGTCGTAAGAGGTGACAGAGAGAAGCATTAACTCCAGACAGAGAGAAATCTTCTCCATGCGGTAATTTATGGGGAAGGCATATGATCCACAGTGGACTTTTATAGGCAGTAATGGATAAATGGATAATTTCAAGAACACTGTACATGTATACAAAATTTTTTTTGTATTTTTTATAACGCATCCCCACACAAGGATTTCTATGGAATTATGGATTCTATGGAAGGTAGGCTATTTAGAAGTTACTAACATGTGGTTTTTTACTTTTTGCTAGGAATACAGAGTCATGAAATTTTAGAATTGGTCATTAATAAAATCTATCGTTCATATCATCCAAATCTATTATATTAAAGAAGTTGAAATTAATAATGATGTTAGAGTTAAGTTATAATTACGGTAAACTAAAATGATGTGTCTTAACTAGTTTGAAGTGCACCTCTCTCACTTCCTCAATTTCATGATTATCATCATTACCGCTTATGCCAACACCTTTACTCTAAGGAAAGACACACTAACGTCGAAAATATGATACAGCCGTCTCTCGTCAATTCAAAACTCCAGGGACTCTTAAAATATTACGAATGTTTGAAATATCAAGTGGTTCGAAATTGAATAAAACTTCGAATTATTAAATATTGATCACTTATTATTTTTAACTGCTATTCTTTAATAATGACAAAAGTTTAGAGCCACATTCGTGTACATATTCATCATGTGAATTAATTAATCTTTCGAAAGAACTCTGTTATACTGGTTTGCTTCAAAGCACATGCTGTTGCTCATACTGCTCAATAACTTTTTTAAGATAAAAAGTGCCTGAAATGCTTTTTAATTACTTTCGTTTTGTAGACAAAAGCTTTGTAAGGTATCTATCTAATGAGGCTCTTGCTTCCTTAACTGACACATCTGCCAAAGGTTCTAATGTATCGTCCTCATATTCATCGTTGCTTTTTTCATTTATCATTATTGGAAGATTTTCCTGGTCTTCTTTTATGAAACCGGTTTATTTGAAGCAGTTGAGAATTGTTAGGGGTGTTACAGCTCTCCATGCCTTGTCAATCAGTAAAATAGCTGTCAGAACCGTGATATTCGCTGTTAGCTGCTTGTCGAGAGATTCTAGAACGAGCTTAACAATTCTTTGCGATAAAACTAATCATAACAAAAACAAAAGCTTGTATACGATAATACAAGTTTGAACATGTCTCAAGATGTACTTACAATCTTTCTGTTTCTTTCTCTCTGCAACTTTGAATTGTCGAGTGTTTGACGCCGATGAGTTCGAATTATTCGTCGTTTTCTTACGTAGCCATGATTTTTTCGTTCGAAATACCAAGTGCATAAAATATATTAAAATAAATTCGAAATATAAAGAGATTTTGTAGGGAACTCGTTATAACTTCGATTTATAGAGAGGTTCGAATTATCGCAGGTTTGAATTAAAGAGAGTCGACTGTACCGTGTTTCGCCTCCAAACAAAACATCACCAGTGGAAATAGATTCTGCGATTACTAACCGATATAAATATTGTAGAATAAACAATAAAACTGATTTTAAAATAGTAATAACGTGCCTTAAATATTAAATTTACTTGAATTCCAGATATTTAGTCAAACCAGTTTAGCAAAACTCTGCTTCTAATATTTTTTAATTTAAAGTTAACCCTTCAAAGCCTTATAATATCTAGGCTGCACTAAAAGTATCGGGAATTGAATATTTCCACTGTTCCTGTCATATTAAAATCTTTTTTAATTGAAAACTCCTTGGTTTTTAAAAATCGAATACCATTTATTTATTTAAAAAAAGATTCTCGGTCTTGTCACAAGGTTTTGTCAAACTTGTTTAGTCGTTGAGAAAATGTATACAACATCGTATCAGGTGACGAATCCTGGATATACGCGTACGAACCCGAAACAAAAAACCAGTCACGAGTTTGGGTGTTCGAAAATGGGGTAAAGCCAACAAAAATTGTTTGTTCACGGAGTGTTGCAAAAAAAATGGTGGCCACGTTTGTTTCCAAAACCGGCCATGTTATGACTATTCCTCGTGAGGGACAAAGAACGGTTAATGCAGAATGGTATGCTAGCATTTGTTTGCCACAGGTCGTTTCTGAACTCCGTAAAGAGAACTGCAACCGCCGCATCATCCTCCATCACGACAATGCGAGTTCTCACACCGCACACAGAACAAAAGAGTTTTTAGAGCAAGAAAACATAGAATTATTAGACCATCCACCGTACAGCCGCGACCTAAGCCCTAATTATTTTTATACTTTCCCTAAAATAAAGAATAAATTGCGTGGACAGAGATTTTCATCACCTGAAGAAGCTGTGGACGCCTACAAAACGGCCATTTTGGAGATCCGAACTTCAGAATGGAATGGTTGCTTCAATGATTGGTTCCATCGTATGGAAAAATGTGTCAAATTTCGCGGAGAATACTCGAAAAGCAGTAAATACACTTTTAAATAGTAATGTTGTGTCACTTCCTTGATTCCCGAAAATTTCAGTAAGTGAGTCTATGAACATCAAATTTCGTGTTCAACAAGTGACTTGTAGTTGTGGCGGACCTGTCGTCGCTCCACAAGCGAAACACATCATAGCCTATATCGCGATATCAAAGTTCCAAAGTAAAAAACAGTATATATAGAATAGCTCCTAAATACCACTTAGGACCGATGGCCGCTTCCCAGACTGAACACCTTGCCCGGCTGAGGATCTTCCTCTTTCCTTCCATCACCAAACTAGTGACCAACCGACGTGATGTGAACATGCAACCAACAATCTTTGGAATTCAACTTCAAGCTACAACTTCAAACCTTCGTCATTATCCTCAAGAACCCCCTGTCTACTCCCGAAAATCGTCTTCTGCAGTCTTCAGTTCCTGCAATCCGGTTCTACTTTGGCTTCATCTAGACTCACCACAGATTTGTAAGACAGACAGACAGACTTCTGCCACATCGTTCTCACCGGCATCACTTGCAAGCGCGTGGTACGGCACGCATTACACACCGGCGTATCTTTCGCACCGGCGTCACTTGCCCTTACGCACACAGTATGCATTCCCCACCGGAATTAAGGATGCATCGGCAATCGGACTGCAATATCGACCTCTTCTCTGCTGAAGTAGCTGAAGTGGCGGCGCTGTCGTCGCGCCACAAGCGAAAGATATCGCAGCCTAAATCACGCTATCAAACTTCCGAAGTAAAAAACAGTATATATAGAATAGCTCCGAACTACCACTCGGAGCGTTGTCTGTTCCCCGGGCTGAACACCTTGACCGGTGGGAGATCTCCCCTTTTACTTCCACGACCATATAGTTATAAAGCTTTACTAAACGATCAGCCACCGCAGAGTCTATTTCACCTGAGGATGCTTCATTTAGAGACAAACTTGTCCTAATAATGACGGTGGCGCGTCTTTTTTAGTGTAGTGGTGTTGGGAGCTATGATAAGTTAAGACGGGAATAAATCACGCAAGCGAGGGAGGGTGGGAGTTGCTCCTTAAACTAGCTAAAACATATAATTTCATTTTATTACGCGTATCTAATCTAATTAATTTTTAACATCTTTAAATCACGGAATTTCGGAAAGTAACTTGTTAATTTGTCAATTGAATGTTCAATTTGCAGGTGGTTCCTCTGGACTGGTGGCCACTGACGCGTGACTGCTTGGCATATGGTATTACGGTGTCCATACTTATATGCATAATGCATGACGAGTATGTGCAATGGTACGAGGCGTTCCTGCTCGTGTCACTCTATGGCGTGTACCTTTGCATCATGTATTATGACAAGTCTATACAAAACTTTACCAAAGGTAATTCTTACAAATCTTATTTAAAATTGGAAAAAAGTAAAAAGACACGATCTGATTTACCTTGTTAAATGTGTACTCAATTCCTTCACAGCAAGTTGGAAATATGTGTCAGCAATGATGAATAAAAACGATGAAAAACAGGACAATTCTCATGCTGTCGGGAGTGGTCTGTATTTGCTCGTATTTCTGAGTCTGTATTCGTTTGTATTTATTGATCTTAATGTCTAAATTATATTAATAATTATTTGATTTTAGAACTTAACGAATCTAAAATCTCTGCATCGCCCAGTAAGAACGAGCCGGCTGTGGATCATTTTCAGCATAACGGGAACATCAAATGCATTACATTGTACGCGGATGATAGTGATAAGAAATCTGAAATAGTTGAGGAAGAGGACAATAATGTCAATATTAAAGTGGACTCAAAGCCAAGTGAAACTGAGATCGTTTCACAAGATGAAAATGCTCACAATGATAATATAGAAGAGGGGAACAATAATAAAACAGATGAATATGAGCATTCTCTTTGGAAATGGCCATCTGGAAGAAGCGTACTCACAAAGGTATTAGTTTTATATTGCGTTAGTTACCTTACTACACAATAAATGAAAAACCTTATTTTATACCTCTGTACTGTTACAGATAACCTGGATAATAACCTGGCCAATCCACCTGGTATTTATGTTTACGATACCTGACTGCGAAAAGCCCCGCTTCAAGAGCTGGTTCCCTCTCACGTTTATGATGTGTATCGTGTGGATAGGATCCTTGTCTTACATTGTCGCGTGGATGATCACTATTATTGGTCTGTGGATCCTAAAATTTTATTGCGCAACAATATTTTTTATATACTTACTGTATTCTGAAGCGCTATGATAGTCAATAATCTATTAGATTCATATTAAACAATGTTCAAATCCACGATTATAATAGCATTTAATCGATGTCGTTAATTTGTTGGACAGGTGACACTTTAATGATTCCGGATTCTGTGATGGGAATAACGTTTCTTGCCGCTGGTACGTCAGTTCCAGAAGCCGTTTCGAGCGTCATAGTTGCAAAACAAGGTAAATTAGCAACTTAACATAAGCACAATATACGAATAAACACAATATACGAATAAACATAAGAAGCGACTACAAAATTGTTATTGTTACAGGTCATGGTTCTATGGGTATCAGTAATTCTATTGGTTCGAATACGTTCGACATTCTGTTATGTCTTGGATTGCCATGGCTAATTAAGGCTTCACTTACTCCAGCTGAGCCTGGCAATTATTGGGTAAGATAAACTCCCTTTTTTTAACGTTGTTGTTAATGATTGCTTGCGCAATGTTAATTTGGCGTTTGGCCCTGCGATCGTTTGCAATGCGAGTTGTTTTGCTAAGCGTAAACTCTGTATTCTGTCAAGCCTTTCTTTGTATACTATAAAATATTGTTCACTTTAAAGGAAGTCTTATTATGATTAACTATAATTGTATTTATTATTGTTTTACAAAATGTTATATCAATAGGTCAAGATAAATTCAATGGGACTGGAGTACTCAGCGATATCCCTCCTGTCGACGCTTCTGATGCTCTATCTGACGTTTTGGTTCAACAAGTTCAAGCTGGACGCGGCAGTGGGGCGCGCGTGTCTTGCCATGTACGCCTTGTTTCTAGTGCTGGCTACACTGATTGAACTGAACGTGTTCTTCCCGGTTAACGTGCGCACGTGCAAAAGAACCGAAATGAAATCTTAAATAATACTCGGGCTTGTGGGAGATAGTGTAAAAAAAGCAGGCTAAGTCTGTTCATAACACAGTGTGGAGAAAACTCTTGTGCCTGACTTCGGCCCCAATTCGTGTTCGTCTACTATCGAATTAATCGCCTGCAAAATTGTTTACGTCGTTCTATCCGTAAAGTACGTACTTCGGCCGTCTCTCCAAGTCCTCATAGAGTAATTGCTTCCGGCCTTTTGAGTCAAATGGGTATTAAGAATTATGATATGATCGATGCAAGTACGTGTTTTGCAGATAGCGATTTTAACCCTTAAAGCCATTCGTCGCTTTTATATTTTTTTAAGAAGATATTGTTTAACGTTTATTTTTATAAAAATGTGTCGGTGCTGATGTGAACACTTCTTCTATGTGCAACTAAGACACCCGTGTAGGTATAAGTAAACAACTCAGTTGAGACGACAACAATTACTATAATGGGCCACAGGCGATTAGTTCATTAATTGCTTGTGCAACGATCTATTTAGGATAATTCATAAGCAATTATTTACGTATAACTTCAATGACGATTGTTGCCGTTTTCAATTAAGAAATTTATGAGCATATTGCAATGATCAGGTTCTATTTAGGGTTATATAGAAATATAAATATAAACTATTACGATATAATGAAATTGAAATTCAACAAAATGGAGCGTTTATTGTTCTGAATACTAAAGTGGACTTTGATTACATTCTTAAAAGCTAGAAGAATTGTTGGTGTAAATAAATACATATCTATTGTTGTAATGTAACAGAGTTTAAGATTAATTGAATATATTGATTTTAAATAAAACTTTTACAATTTTTTATTTATCTTTCCCCGTCTTTTGTGTCTAATCGTTGATTTTTTTCTCTTATGGTAATGCTACACGGTAGGCAATACGCCTCCCAAGCGTGAAAACCTTGGTTGTTTTTATAAAATAAGGGTTTCATACGAGCACACAGTCCACCTAATCGTAAGTAATTGCTGTGATCGATGGATATCTACGAGTACATTTATCCACAATTATGAATTAATATGCAGATGCATTGTCATCCCTGAGGACTAGGATGAAATTCCTTGTTTCTAATAAAAAGAGGGTCTGGGTACTGGCTGCTTCGATATCGTCAGTATTCAATGATGCAACAGCTGCCTTTTCGAGGTCTTACCGATTACAATACTGCGTACATCTCTTGATTTGTCGACATCGTTCGACATAATATGCAATACTTTAGCTGACAGGGCTGTGATTTTTTATATAAAAAAAAACATCTATTAGAACTATTTTGTTACTATAAGAGAATATTTAAACAGATGTGGTACAAAAACATCTATGCGACACAAACTTTAAGTCACAAGGTAGACCAGCGCAATAATAAAGATCTCTTGATTGCTCAATTTAGCCTCGACATAGTCTCGGTATACTGAGCACACAGAATACTATAATACATGTATTATAGTATTCTATGGCTGAGCATATGTTGCACCACTGACGTATCGATCAATTTAAAATACCTAGGTGGATTGAAAAGTACTCGGCCTAACACAGATCCATTCAATTCTAAAAATCAAATCTACCCACATTATTTAGTTCAGTTCAGACTAGTTCATTGTGTGAAGTTCGAAACGTGTGCGATAATTAGTTGTGATTTTATAAATTTATTAACAAAGTAATCGGACATAATTTCCGCGAATGGAGCAAATCGAGCAGCGTGCCGTCATTAAGTACCTCCATAAGAAGGGGCTATCATCAAAAGCCATCCATAATGACATGGTCAGTACATTAAACGATTGTGCTCTGTCATATTCATCCGTCAAAAAATGGATAGCAGAATTTAAGCGTGGTAGAGAGAGTGTGAAAGATGAACCCCGCTCTGGAAGGCCTTCGACGTCAACTACTGACGAAAATATTAAAAAAGTACTTGAATTAATAATGGGAGACCGCAGATTAAAAATTAGAGATATAGCCGAGATTATAGGCATCTCTTATGAACGAACTCAAAACATCATTGTCAACGAGTTGGGTTTCCACAAGGTGTCTGCGAGGTGGGTTCCGCGACTGCTTTCAGTTGAACAAAAAAGGACGCGATTGACTATTTCACGCGACTGTTTGGAGTTATTTGAAGCCGATGCAGATGATTTTTTGAATCGTTTTGTTACTATGGACGAAACATGGGTTCATTACTGTACACCGGAAACAAAACAACAATCAAAACAGTGGAGAAGACCTGGTTCACCACCCCCTAAAAAGGCTAAGTCGATTTTGTCGGCAAATAAGGTGATGGCTTCAGTATTCTGGGACTCGAAAGGTGTGATTATGATTGATTATCTTGAAAGGGATCAGACTATAAACTCTGATTACTACTGCACCTTACTACGTCATTTACGAGAGGAAATAAAAGAAAAACGTCGAGGAATGCTCAGAAAAAAAGTCCTGTTTCATCAAGATAACGCCCGTGTTCACACGTCAGTACAGTCAATGGCTGAAATTCACAACTGTGGCTTTGAACTGTTACCGCATCCGCCGTATTCACCTGATCTGGCACCATCAGACTTTTTTCTGTTCCCTAACCTAAAAAAGCACTTGGGAGGTCAAAGATTTTCGACAAAAGACGAGGTCAAAGAAGCTGTAGACGCATATTTTGACTCTAAGGAAGAATCATTTTTTTTCAACGGTCTAAATGCTTGGAAGGGGAGGTGGCAAAAGTGTATTGAACTTGATGGTGATTATGTAGAAAAATAAAAATATAACTGATTTAGTATGTGTTTATTTTCTTGGTTAGGCCGAGTACTTTTCAATCCACCCTCGTAAAACCGCCTAATAGCGAAAGAAATGTTGATCGTTTTTTATAAAATTGAGTTGATAAACGAATTTACAGTCCACTTGACAGAAACTGGCTACTGTAGCCTATTAACACCCGTGATCAACTTCAAATAAATAAGGCTACAGATAAGTTGTGAACTCTGTGGAACAAGACAAAACGCCTCGCAGTCTGTAATTATACTGGTTCTCTATGGACAGAGATCCAGCGGAAGACAGTGCAGAAACTGCTAGAAGACAGGAATATTATGCGTAATATCTTGACACTATAAAGTTTAAAATATTTATATTTAGATATACAAGCATGGAATAACAGCTCGACGCTGCTGTTTTTCGTATGGTGAGTGTAAAGAACCGGAGACCCTTTTTACTGGAAACGAGACATTCTATCTTAGTCCTCACGGGTGACAACACATTTGCATTTTGATTTGTAATCGAGGATAGATCTGCGGGCCACCACCGGATGGTTACCATCAGGTGGACTGTGTGCTCGTTTGTCATCCTTATCGTATAAAAAAATTGTATATACAACAGTCAAACGTTTGTTAGTGGATGTGGTGACCCGTATACACCAATCCTGAATTAGGACGAAAAGTTATGATACGTTTTCCCCAGTAGGGAAGACTTTGGAATCCTGTCACCAGTAAAATTGGTCGCCGGTTCTAAATTATCATATGAAACACAGCAAAATTATGCTCCCGTTCTAGGTTATTATTCTGTGAGAATCTTTTTCTGGTGAGGGAGCAGTATTGCAGCCATAATACAGCTGCAGCGTGTTTCTACAGCGCATAAAATCTATTTACTTTTTCGCAGATTCCAGCAGAAACTGAGTTTCTTTTTGGGAAGGCAAAATAAAACGAGTGTGCTTATGACCACACGATTGAAGTAAACATATTATATAATTTTAAACATAGTACCTACATATATTAATTTTCTAGAAAATATTTAAATTTAATTTCGACTTCCTTCCATAATTTGTTATTATTCACTAGAAAATTCAGAAAACATGAACTATAAAATAAATTTGCAATTTTATTCACTTTAAACGTAGAATATTAAATGTATTGAACAAAATATTGATACATAAAATTGTTCAAAACGAAATAAAATTACGAAAAATAACCGGCTATGAGAGAAAGAGAGAAAGAAATTGTGCGCGCGCACTGCTCTCTCTTGTTTATATCCCCACTCAACTCCCGTTCGCCTCGCTCGGTCACACTAGTCGTAACGATGTATTTGACGTTTTGAAAATTTTACATCGTTTTATTGACATTTAAAAATTAATTGTGGCTTTATAGTGTGTACAAAATTTTTCATTGTTAGGAATTAAAATCCTATACCTTTAAACGAGCAATTCTTATATATATATATATATATATATATATATATATATATATATATATATATATATATATATATATATATAATCGGAATCTCGGAAACGGCTCCAACGATTTTCATAAAATTTTGTGTGCAGGGAGTTTCGGGGGCAATAAATTGATCTAGCTAGGATTATTTAGAAAATGTCTTTTTGTCCGTGTTTTTAGGCAACTGCTACGATATCGTTAGAATAAGAAGGTAAATTTTGACAGTTTATTAATGTTTACAAATAGCTTAATTGGTATTTTGGGCGGTCACAAAATCGTAATACCATGGTTCTTCATTAATCTATTTTTCGAGCCCTTTTTTTAGTATTTTTTAAAAACACGAAAATTTAAATTAAACTAATTGCACTCATGATTTTTTATTCAAATAACCAGTTCAGTTTTTTCTATTATGTTGCTAATATCAAAAAATATTATTTGATTCTGATGAAATATCAGTATGTAATTTGTATCTAAATATAATTTCCAAAACACACGAATTAAAAAAACCGAGCGAAAAATACCGAGCAAGCTCGGTCAACCGGGTACTAGACTGTAATCTAAATTGGAAAAGCCATATAGAATGTGTATTAAATAAATTGTCAACATTTATATATGCGCTAAATGAGTTAAAAAGATCCACAAATAAAAATACAGCCACAGTGGCCTATTAATGCCTATGCACATGTGTGTTTGCGCTACGGTATACCGTTGTGGGGAAACTGCACAGACATCGAAAAACTCTTTATCGCTCAAAAAAAATGTATAAGAATTCTAGCAAATATTGACGCTAGGGAAAGCTGTAGATCATATTTTAT